TCATCCCTCTCTGCTCTCTCTCATGTCCTTTTCCTACTTCTTGTCACTTTATCCTCTCTTCTTATATCCTTTTTCCAGTTCTCTGTACTCTTCATGACTCCTCGTTCTCATTGTTCTCCGTTTTGCTTACATCCTCCATTTTCCTTCACATTTGCTTTCAGTCATTCCCCGTATGCTAAGTGACAGATGCGATGAAAGCACAGTGTTTACTCTTATCTGCTTCCCCTTTCTGTTTGTCTGCTCTCTCGGTACGCGCTTTCCATCTCTGTCAATTTCTCTCTCTCTCTCTCTCTCTCTCTCTCTCTCTCTCTCTCTCTCTCTCTCTCTCTCTTCTCACTCTCTCTCTTTCTCACTCTCTCTCTTTCTCACTCTCTCTCTTTCTCACTCTCTTTCTCTCTCTCCCTCTCTCTCTCTCTCTCCCTCTCTCTCTCTCTCTCTCTCTCTCTCTCTCTCTCTCTCTCTCTCTCTCTCTCTCTCTCTCTCTCTCTCTCTCTCTCTCTCTCACCTTCCTTATCCCTCTCCCTTTCTTTCTCTCTCTCCCTTTCCTTCTCCCTTTCCTTTACTTCTTCCTCTCTTTTTCTGTCTCTCTCTGTCTCTCTCTGTCTCTCTCTCTCTCTCTCTCTCTCTCTCTCTCTCTCTCTCTCTCTCTCTCTCTCTCTCTCTCTCTCTCTCTCTCTCTTTCTCACTCTCTCTCTTTCTCACTCTCTCTCTTTCTCACTCTCTCTCTTTCTCACTCTCTTTCTCTCTCTCACTCTCTCTCTCTCTTTCTCTCTCTCTCTCTCTCTCTCTCTCTCTCTCTCTCTCTCTCTCTCTCTCTCTCTCTCTCTCTCTCTCTCTCTTTCTCTCTCTCTCTCTCTCACCTTCCTTATCCCTCTCCCTTTCTTTCTCTCTCTCCCTTTCCTTCTCCCTTTCCCATTACTTCTTCCTCTCTTTTTCTTTCTCTCTCGCCCTTTCCATCTACCTCTCTCTCTCTCTCTCTCTCTCTCTCTCTCTCTCTCTCTCTCTCTCTCTCTCTCTCTCTCTCTCTCTCTCTCTCTCTCTCTCTCTCTCCCTCTCTCTCTCTCTCTCTCTCTCGCTATTTATCTATCTCCCCCTATCTTTATCTTTCCCTCGTCTTTCTGTTTGTCTGCTCACTCGGTACGCGCTTTCCATCTCTGCCAATTTCTCTCTCTCTCTCTCTCTCTCTCTCTCTCTCTCTCTCTCTCTCTCTCTCTCTCTCTCTCTCTCTCTCTCTCTCTCTCTCTCACTTTCCTTATCCCTCTCCCTTTCTTTCTCTCTCTCCCTTTCCTTCTCCCTTTCCCATTACTTCTTCCTCTCTTTTTCTTTCTCTCTCGCCCTTTCCATCTACCTCTCTCTCTCTCTCTCTCTCTCTCTCTCTCTCTCTCTCTCTCTCTCTCTCTCTCTCTCTCTCTCCCTCTCCCTCTCCCTCTCTCTCTCTCTCTCTCTCTCTCTCTCTCTCTCTCTCTCTCTCGCTCTCTCGCTATTTATCTATCTCCCCCTTTCTTTATTTTTCCCTCTTTCTCTTTCAGATTCTCTATTTATCTTTTTCGTTCTTTCTCAAATGTACATTCATCATTCTTATTTCCTTACACTGCATTTTTGTTACTCATGTTCTACGTCGTCCCCACGCAGTCGGATTATAGCTACGCCCACTGACAATCCAATTCCCACAGACAAGCTTATCGCCAGACACGCCCGCAGACAATTTGATGGCCACAGATCTGCCCGCGGACAAATCGATCACTGCAAGCACATGATTGTTGATCTGTATGAGTCAGCGAACACCCGACACACTCGTCAATTACTGTGTTTTTTGCGAGATGCTAGAACTACTTTTTCGGAGTGTCTGATTTATTTTTTTATAAAGTAGTCCTGATTTCGGTTCATTTCCCTATTTTTTATAGTTTCTTTCCTCGGTATTTGCATCCATTTCTCTCTCTCTCTCTCTCTCTCTCTCTCTCTCTCTCTCTCTCTCTCTCTCTCTCTCTCTCTCTCTTCTCTCTCTCTCTCTCTCTCTCTCTCTCTCTCTCTCTCTCTCTCCTTTCTTTCCCTTTTTCCCTCCTTCCTTCCTTCGTTCCCTACTTCCGTCTCCCTCTTCCCCTTTCCCTTCCTCCTACCTTTCTTCTTCCCCTCTCTCCCTCTTCCTCGTTTCTCTCCCTCCTTCTTTCTCCCTTCCTCCTTCCTTTCTCTATTTCTCCATCTCCCTCCCTTTTTCTCTTCTTCTCCCCTTCCACCCCCCTCTTTCCTCTCATCCTCTCATCTTTCATCTACAAGTGACACCGAAAAAAACGATTGTCTTTTCGGACAGGTTCCTCAACAGCAGACTTTCACGCCCAGTGCAGAGCAAAAGGACTGCAAATCACGAAGACTTTCACTCTCGTAATCTCAGGTTGAGATGATCCACGCGGAACATCAAGACGATTGCTTTGATTAGAGCGTTAATGATGATTACTTGGAAATGAGAGATGGTTAGCTGTCTATCTGAATAAGGTTTCTTTTAATATAGTTAGCTAGTTGATGATTATTTGGCGGATATATCGTCATTAGAGTTGGAAGTAAGGTTTTTAATTCAACACTTTGTTAGATTGTTGAGATAATAGCCGGTTTTCTCCGTAATTAGTTTTGTATTAGATAAGTTAAGACTTAATTGACAACATTTTCATACACATTCTTCACCTGATGAAAACTATATAGTCCGTTGAGAGTGGGCGTGCGGGCGTGATAATTGCACAAGAATTTTCCCTGCCAGTTCTCCCGCAAGCGATGGGGCGTTGCTGTCGGGTCGTGAATTCGCAACGCACGAACTGCCACGCAAAGGCGAAGAAAGTCGAGCGTGTTGTTGGTATAGCATTTAAGAGGAATGACATTTTTTATGGTAACAAAGTCGACATTTCCAGACTGAATGTATTAAGTTAATTGTGGGGTGGAGATACTCTCTCTCTCTCTCTCTCTCTCTCTCTCTCTCTCTCTCTCTCTCTCTCTCTCCTCTGATTTGCTATTATCTTACTCGTCTATCGTCTTTCCCTGTTTTGTCTCTCTATTTCTCCTCTTTTTCTCCCCCTTTTTCTCTCTGCTTCTCTTTTTATCTTCTTCATTCCATATAACAGTTTTCTCCCTATGTATTTATCTCTTCCTTTCGCCATACTATTCCTCGAGATGCACATTAGCCATACCAAATTTTAATTAGATTTACTGCGCATGAGTGAAGGGGAAAATGTTCATCAAGCATGCCACTCACTTACACGTGACAGGCAAGTTCGTTTTGTTTGTTTGTTTTTATCGTAATTCCGAAGAATAGAAGTTAAGGGAAAGAAAAGAAAAAAGAAAAATGTGAGTTCATATTATCAAAGAATGTCGCTGCGAAGAGAAGAAAGATGGAAACGTCCCTTTGATCTGGGCGAGGCGATCGCTGACTAAGAGGAGCCGGAAGTGAATCCAATCTCAGTGGATCTTTTGGTCGGTCCCTCATTTGTTTCTGTTCTATTTTTAACCCGCAGGACGTCATGGGGTACATAGCGGTGGTGGTGGCGCTAGCGGCATGCGCGGCTGTTACTCATGCCGATACTAGGAACACCTGGTCGTGGGGCGCCGACGGCCACAAGGAGGCCCATGACTCTGCTCCTTCATCTATCTCGTCGGCCGTGGCATCAGCCCCGTCGTCGGGGTCGCTCAGGACCGTCTCCTTCACCGCCAACGACGACCACCAGTTCGTCGACCCCGGCGTCAGCGTCATCAGCACGGTGAAGCAGAGCCAGAGCGTGATTCCTCCTCCGATTGCGATCGCAGGGGCGACCGGATCGGTCTCGGTAGCGCCCCAGATTACCGGGGATCATCTGAAAGGAGAGACGCCCACCGGCAGGGTCGACGGAGCCGCCGCCGGAGACCAAACGGAAGGGAGGTTCTTCGGCATCAAATCCAAGCTCTGTGACGTTGGCATTGGATTTGACGTAAGTGAAGTTTCTATTTTTCTTGGCAATAAACTAATAATGATCATGCTAATGTTAATGATATAATACTAAAAGTAATGACAATGACGTAGTGAACCGTCAGAAACATAATAAATAGTTGCGGTAACTCAATAAACATGCGTTACTCTTGCATGAAAATACACTCATGCTTGCGGAGAAAGGAAGGCAAGTGTGGCACTAGATGTGAAAGTTCCAAGTAGCTTCTACGGCCAATAATCACTCTCATCAAGCAATCTGAGCCTTTCACTTTTATCGTGCTTGTTTCCTGGTACATTTTAGCTTAGTTTACTCATGAATAGTTTAAGAATAGTAATGTGTAGGTAGAAAATATAATAATAATCTAATATACAAGTAAAATTTGTGATGTTAAATAACAGTTGCTAATCCCACGCGCCCATTCCTCGCAGTGCAAGAAGGGCTACCATAAGGGCGACCACATCAGCCCCTACGACATCAGCTACGTGCAGCCCGTGCAGGTGGTCCCCGTGGGCGGCCCCATAGCGTCCGTGCCGGTCAACAAGGGTTACCACCACAAGGCCAAAGGACACTACAGCCCACCTTCCACGGGCTACGGCGCCCCCCATCCTCCCTCATTAGGCTACGGAGCTCCCCACCCTCCCTCCACTGGGTATGGCGCCCCCCCTGCCTACCACCCTCCCCAGTCGAGCTACGGCGCTCCCCCAGCACCCAGCTACACCCCCCCAAAGGCCTCCTACTCAGCCCCGAAGGCTCACGGCCAGACGGTGGTGCACCACGTCCACACGCACCACCACGTCTACACCGGCGGCTCAGGCGGCGGATACGCGAAGGACTCCTATTCTGGCGGCTTCCTTGACCGGTCCTCCAGCTCCAGCAGCTCCTCCGTCAACAAGATCGGGTCGTCGCTTCCGGTCATCCCCCTCGGATCCTCATCCTCCTCCGGCTCCTCCTTTTCCTCTTCCTCGGCCTTTTCCTCCTCATCCGACTTCCAGAGGCTGTACCGCGAGGACTGCCAATGCGTGGACCGAATTTACTGCCGCGACCACGACATCG